CGCAGTCCTGGCTGCGGCGCGCCCGCCCGGGCGCAGCTCCCCGGCGGCGAGAACGGCGCGAGGGAAAGGTCATGGGAAGGTGCCCGTCTGAATCCTCAGGCAAAAAAACCTTGTGCCCCCTCCGGGGTTTTGGTGGATGGGGTGTTTTAGCTGGAAGAGAAGAGCTTTTCCATTTATGTTATTGCCTCGTTAGCGAAAAGTCCTTGAAAAAATGTCAGTGAATTTTTAAAGAACTACGTGGCAGTTCTCATAATCCAGACTGGCTTTAAGCACCATATTTAATTTGTGTATTAATTTTTTTGGAAATGCAAAGGTGTGGAAGGAAAGAAGGTTACAAGGTTTGTAAAAGACCTCAGGCCGCGCTGCTGGGAACTACTCGCATATAAAATAGGAACAGCAGAGTCCATCCTGTTTTCCATCTTGGCCCTTTTCCTTCCTGGCTTGTCACAGCTTGGTACTGTGAGGGATGCCTCCCTCGAGGCATCCGTGACCACATTGTCCTTAAGGGCGGCAGTTGAAATTTTGGCTTTGTGGTGCGATTGTGGGGTTGTGCTGCTGCACAAAGACTTCTTCTACAGCAGGGTTCTCAGTAAAATGCCACTCCAATAGGGAGTTGTGTGCTGATTTACAGTTTCTGAATTTGACCAGAAAAGACTGCATTGAGACAAGTAACTCCGCTGTCTGAGCAGCCTCGCTCTGTTTGCAAGGGAAGGAGCCAGGTCTGCCCCGGACAAGCTCCCCCTGCAGCGGGGCTGCCCAGGGGCCGGCCGCGGGCGAGGGCCATCCCCAAAGGCCCTAACTGCACGATTTGCTGCTTGCGTATCCGGATATGGTGAAAGGCTTAAAAATAGCTCTGCTCCGTTAAATCAGGCCTAAAATCATTAGTCTTTTTTTGATCTTGATTTATTAGACCTTTTTCATTTTGAATATGAAACCATGAGTTGTACTCAAGGTTTACCTGACGTAGGTAGAGAGGAGATATAACAGGGCTGAACTTGGCCCCTCTTGTTTGACTAATTTTGTACGGACTCACATATGAGAAAGTTGTTAAACTTCGTTCTGGCTTGATGTACGTGCTTAAAATAACACCGAATTTGGACTGCTCTTTCAATACAAGATCGATAAATATTTCTGCTGAACTTTCTAAAGAAATTGGTATAATGTACCAGTAACCTGCAGTTTACGCTCTTTTGCTGTAATAATTCTTGCACTGCAAACACAGATGGATAGTCCACTGACTCTAGCCCAAAACATAACATGACTGCAGCCTTTTGGAAGAAAGGCACAATTTTTGTTCAGAAGAGACCGAAACATCTGTTGGGAAGAGTGAGCAAGTGCCAATAGATCACTGGGGTTTTTTTTGTTGTTGATTGTTTGTTTGTTTTTGTAATGAATGCATTAGAAATGCCACTTAACTGTCTTTTCCTCCTGTTTATTGCTTGGCTACTTGAAGGAAGGAAGTGAACCTCCGATAAGGTACTGTGGAGAGGTGGCTCCCTGCAGCGGCTGGTGGCTGGTGCCCCCGGCTCACGCTGCTTGGTTGTGGCTGCATCGCTGGGGCTCTGTTCCCGCAGCGTGCGGGCGCCTCTGGCTCTTTGCTGTGGTTGTGACCCTTGGCGAGGTAGACGGGCGCACTAACCGCCTGCGGTGACTCGTGCGGGCGGCGGGACAGACCCCTTTGTGCGTCACTGTGTAGCGGGACAGAGCGTCTCCCTCTGCGCCTCGCGGCCAGGGCCAGGCAGAAACCGCCTCGGCTGTGAAACGTCCCATTATTTGTTCTGCTGTCTTTTTCTGCCGTAATTAATGCAGATCGGCCAGTAAAGAAAATGTAAACATTGAAATCGTTTTAGTTATCTTACTGCCTGTTATGGACATGCATTCATTGAGGAATTTTCAATTAAAAACATGTATATCATTTATTGCCTATCATTAGGTAAATATTTTAATGTATCAGGATATATATAAATATTTGCTGTATTATTACTTTGCTTGTTTGATATACCAATGAAACATACCAGCTTTTGTATTAAATAAGCAGTGTCAAACCTTGTCAGGTGGAGCGGTTGCTTCGGCCCTCCTGGTGTTGGTAATAGCTGGCGCTCGCTGTGCCCCGCTCCGCGCGCGGTCCTGACTCACCGTTTCTGTCCTCCCGCGCAGTTCTGAACCAGCAGCACCAGGGAGCGGCGGTGCCGCAGCAGAGCCGCCCGGCGCCGCAGCCTCAGCCCGGGCTGCTGGGCTTGCCCAGCGCCCTGACCGCCCAGCAGCAGCAGCAGCAGAAACTGAGGCTCCAGAGGATCCAGATGGAGAGGGAGCGCATCCGGATGCGGCAGGAGGAGCTACTGCGGCAGGTAATGCTGAGCGCCCGTCCTAGGCTGCTTCAGGTGTTTTCGGGCTTCCACGTATTTGTGAGGTACAATTAGTAGCTGTTCCCATTCATCAAAATTGACCTTTGTTTTAGGGGAGGGAAACGAGAGGCTAACAGAGCAGAGCCTCCATGCAACAAGCAAAGAGCATTTCCTGCTTTCTTTGACCCAGGCTGAGCAGGGCACAAGCGGCCACATCTCTGCACATTGCCATCCTCGGAAGCGGTGGTGCAAAAAAATAGATTCAACTGTTGCAGAACTGTCAATTTAAGGACCAGTTTGTTCACTGCAGATGTGTATAAATCTGGAGAAATTATCATCCTCAGTCTGCCATGGTTTATGTAATGGATTGTGTCCATGCCTCGCTAGGAAGAGCAGAGTACACGGGGTTGTTCTTTAACCCACAGCCTTTGCCTTTGGATGCAAATCAAATCAGATACACATCCTAATCTCCTAATCCTAATCTGTGAATTTTCCAGACGTGGTTTCTTTGTGGCTGCTTGTGTATTGTTCTGTTTCTTAACATCCAGCTCTATATAATGAGTAATATTGTATGAAAGAGGTGCGTAGCTTTGTGTGTAACTTTAAGAAAATGAGCAGTTTTAACAATTGCAAAGGATAGGATTCCTCTGCTAGGGAGAACCGCAGCGATGATGCTGTTTTGCAAGCGTTATTCACCAGCTTCCTGGAGAACACAAATAGTCTGTTTCCCTCAGGAGCAGTGTGTGAGCTGACTACGTTCTGCCAAGGGTATCGCTCACCGTGATGGCCAGCAGCCTTCTAGATGCTGCACTTAGTGGTGACTTCCCCAAATAATTGTGTTGTGCAATTAGCGTTTCATATCTGCAGTCCTTTTGTCTTCGGGATCATGCCATAATTTGTAGTTATTTTAGGGTAACATTTGTTTATACTGTATTTAGAAGTGCAGTGTGACATTTTTGGCAGCAGGTCGAGGTGCATCTGTCACTGGGCTGATTGCACCAATTGGCTGAACTTTTCTGATGCTTCACTGGAGTACAGTAAGTTGCTGCAACATTTTGAAATGCCAGTGATTTGTTTATATATATAAAAACAATATATATAAACAATGTTTATATATATATAAAAAAGCCCTGCACTGGACTCTCTCCAGCAGCTCCACATCCCTCTTGTCCTGTGGAGCCCAGAACTGCACACAATACTCCAGATGCGGCCTCACCAGGGCTGAGTAGAGGGGCAGGATCCCCTCCCTTCTGGAGCCGCTCTTCTTAACGCACCCCAGGATCCCATTGGCCTTCTTGGCCACGAGGGCACACTGCTGCCTCATGGTCACCTTGTCGTCCACCAGGACGCCCAGGTCCCTCTCTGCAGAGCTGAGAAGAGACAGCAGCTGAGCAGACAGGGACACGTGGAAGGTGCTGTGGGCGGCAAAGCCAGAGGGACTGGAGACTGGAAATAGAGATCCGGGTGATCAGAGCAGATTTCTCAAAAGAAATGTGCCTGTGCCCACAGCTTTTATAAGCAGTCCTGAAAGTCTCACATTGATGGCAAGATTTTTGGTTTTCTCTGTGCAGCTTTTTAATATTGGTTTTGCTAAATATGTTGTTACTTTTTTTTTCTCTCTCTCTCTTTTTTTTTTTAATTTAAGCATCCTATCTTATTTAAATTAATGGAAGAAAAGGTCTTTAAAGTTGGCAGTGACAGAGAGTGTGAGGTCCTCTTTTTCCATGCTTTTATTTCAGAACATTTTTAATAACATTTTACAAAAACAGCAATTTTCAAAACAGTAACAGTACAGCTGTTTGCCAAATTAAAGGGTTATTAGGATGGTATTGAAAGTGTTTCTTTTTATCCTGTAAAGAAAATGCAGTTTGGGGTAGATTTAATGCAGACTTTCAGGTAATACAGGCTGTCAGCCAATATAGACTTTAATGAGAACATGATTAAACTTTTATCCTCATGTATAAACTATATTTAAGTCAGATAACTCCCTGATTGCACCAGTAGCACCTTAGTAAGTCAATCTTGTTCTGGCGGAAAGAACAAATTCAAGACGAATGTAGATCCTATCATATAGTGGGGTTTTGGAAAGGAGAGAATCCATAAGAAAATGAAAACGGATGTCTGGAAAGTGTAGAGTTGCTAAAAATATTACATGAGAGTAGTTCTAAAAAAATACTTTCCAATATGCAATAATTTGCATAATTTGTAATTTTTCTCTTTAACCTCTTTGCACTAAATGTAAGAACTTTAAAGAAGGTTAATTAGCAAGATTAATTAACAGAAATTCAACGAAACATTTTGAAACAGTACAGCACCACGTGGCTGCATTTGAAAGGGGCATTACCACCCCAGTGTTTCTCCGCCTCTGCGGATCCCTCCCTGGCCGCACATCCGGGCCCATCCCCTGGAGAGCCCCCGGTCCGGCCGCGCGCCCAGGGGGGAGGCGGCTCCCGCCGCACACACGGGGCTCGTGCGGCTCCCTGGGCAGCTCCGGCCCCTCGTCGCCTTCCTCGTCCTCGTCCCCGTTCAGCTCTGGAGTTCCTAGAACAGAAACCTGTTTGTGCAGAAAGGACTGATCACCATTCTGGAAGGAGTTGAATTTATTTCTTACCGATTTGTTTGGCAGCTTTCCAAAGGAAAAGGGATACCTGCTGCTTAGGTGCCCCATGGAAAATGAAGTAGTAAGAGGTGATGTCAGTGAGAAAGGCCAAGGGTTGTGAGAGCAGGTGTCCCGTCTGCTCCTCTCCATGCACAGGAGGAGCCTTCCCTCGCTGCACAGGACAGCACGGCTGACGGAGCCAGGGCAGCGCTTTGCAGAGGTTGATTTCAGCTCCCCAGCCACATTCACTAAATGCATCTATGAGCATTGGAAAGATGAGGGGCTCAAAAGAGACCACGGAGGAACGGTGTGTGAGGATTCGGAGGTAGATGCCAAACAACTATCTCTGTTGGCCAGTACCCCTGCTTTTGAGAGGTGCTGTAGCTTGTGACCACAGTATTGTTGTCTGTGGTGCTGCAAGAGATCTCGGGTACTTTTTGCTGGAGATGCCATTCATGAATATGGTTCTTCAGGGCAATCATCATTAGCTTGCAGATACGCTTAAAGGGAGGGGAGGATGCAAGCTCTCACAACTCTGTGACTGTGTGGTTGGTTCTGTGCTGGTGACCCTCGCAGTAATCATGCTGGAGAAGCAGAGGGGTCCAACACTCGCAGCACGGCTGGAATTGTCCTTCCAGGAGCACGCCTGCCCATGCGGTGCAGCCCGCACTCCTTCTGCTTCCCAGCCCAAATCTGACTCCACGCTGCAGGATTACGCTGGTCAGCACGTGAAGTGCACAGAGTTGGTGGTGTAAGCTGAAGTAAAGACTCGCAGGCTGCCATGCCACTTTCCAACAGAGGGTAGATTAAGTGGCTTTATAATAAATGTAGCATTTCTTGCAATAGAGACAGAACTTAGGTTGTGCACATACCAGCAGGAGTCTTTATTTAGGGTGCTGGAGGCTTTTTAGCTCACAATTTGTCTTGCCTTGCAAGGCCTAGCGAAATCCTGGGGTAGATGACAAATTCCCAGAGGGTGCAGGTTGGCAGCCCCGAGGGCAGATGCCGTGTCCGGGTACCAGTAGTCAAGGAGAAGGTGAATCTCTCCATCTCAAAGCAGTCAGTAGTTGGCACCGTGTTTGTTGACGCATCACGGTGCCTGATGGCATCAGGTCAGCTGCCAGGCAAGGAACAGCCAGGCAGCAGGAAGGTCTCTAAATAATATGTGAAATTCGCAGCTGTTTGTGTGGGAGCAGTAAGTCCAGTGCACTGGCATGAATGGTCTATTAATTCTTAAAAATTATTTAAAAATTTAATGCAAATTATTATTTTTCAGTGAATATGTTAAATTGGTAGTTTGATTATAAATAAAACATTGCATGAATGCACTCCAATATATGTTAAGGACCAGTGAGTAATTTTTCATGAAAAGACCAGAGTAGTGCTCTTCATGGAAGAAATAAATTGCAAACAGAATAAAATATCAAAATCTAGCTTTAAAAACGTGTTTGCCTTTTCTGTATTGGGGACTGTGAGGAGCCGATTTAGTGGAGAAAGATTTTCTACGAGGATTTAAGTAAAATGTTTCCTTTGCTCATTTCCTACCAAATAAATAATGGTAATTGGGCTCAGCACACCAGGTAAATCCCAGCGGCGACGCAGTTTGCTGCCGCCGCGCTTTGCTTCGCAGCGGTGTCCGGAGCGTCGCGCGGCCCCGCGCTCGGCTGCTGCCTCAACACGAGGCCTCTCGGCAGGCAGGGGTCTCGCGGCGTGAGGATCGTCCCAGAGCTGCTGGAAACTGGTGTATTTAAATCTTCAGGTTGTAAAATATTTTATTGCTACTTGAGACCAGATCTCTGAGGACCTGGGCTCGCTGATCAGTGAACTGAAATTGTAATTTCAATCTTTCCCTGCTCTAGCACATGTGTGAGAACCCTCAGCTGGAGTGTGTTGGCCCAAAATGCATGGGCAGGCTCCTCGTCACCAGCTTGCACGTGCAGAGTTTTGCGATGGGCAGCGCACAAGGAGTTGTGATTTGCAGTGTTCATGGCTTGGTTTTCGTGGGGCTTCTCTTTGCGAGCAGCGATGAGCGCGCTTGTTCTGCGGGCATGGGCTCCTGCTCACCACATGCCACTGCCACCAGCAGACCAGACGTGTTAATGATTTTCTTTACATCCTTGTAAACACACAGTAATCAGCTACACTGTTTAGAATTACCTTAAGACGTACATACTGAACATATCTTCTTTTATAAGTATTTCTGAATGGTTGCAACAATCTTTCCCTTGTTATTTATTCACTCCTTAGGAAGCTGCGCTATGCAGACAGCTTCCCATGGACTCCGAAAACATGGCCCCAGTTCAGACTGCTGTGAACAGCCCTGCAATGACACAAGATCTACGGCCTATTACGAATAACGGATCAGATCCCTTCCTGAACAGGCAAGTTCATGGCCCACCACTAGATGCTTGGTTCCGTTGCCCTGTCTGTACTTCTGAAGCTGTCTCTTCTAAGCAGATTCCTGTTTTGCAGTTACTGTGAACAGGGGATACAGCCTAGTGGCTGACCTGAAATTTTTCAGTTTACACTTCAAGAAAGAATCTCAGAAAAACAAACAAATGATAACAGATTTTAAATGTACCTGTGTGCAGAGGATTCTGGGTACGTTGCCTTGGTATGCTCAATTATAACTCCGTTATCTCAATTAGTTTTAGGCAATCAAAACAGTTGTTGTCCGGAGATTTATACATATGTGTATATTGCGCCACATTAGTGTCTCAACAATTGTGAAGGAGTTTTCATGAGTATTTAATATCTAGTGCTCTGTCTTGTCAAACACCGTGATCAGGGACTCGCTAACACAACTTCTTTACTGAGGCTTTTTCGTGTTTCACTTTGTAGTGGCCCGTACCATTCCAGGGAACAGAGTACAGACAGCGGCCTAGGCCTGGGATGCTACAGTCTACCCACAACACCGGAGGATTTCCTCAGCAACGTGGATGAGATGGATACAGGTAGAGCTTGAAGCTCCCATAGAGTTTAAAATATAATAACAGTAAAAACAACTTCTTGTTAGGACCAACAGTGTTTTACAATTGCATAACTGAACAATAAGCTCTCAGTTTCTGATGCAAGAGAACAGACTGTGACTGTGGAGGAAAAGGCCGTAAAGACTTTTAGCACCTGGAAGGTACCAGATTCTGCCCTGCTACCTTAGATTATGATAATATAGCAAATAGGTACGTGTTGGAAAACCCAAGCCTTAATTCACGCTTTAATTATATAATCCAAGATAGGACAAGAAAAATAGTCTTGGGTTATTAAAATTACTAAAATTTCAGGACAAATCACTGCATCTCTTCCATTGGAAAAGTTGGATTTGCCTTTAAATAGCATTTGTTCAGCTATTTAGGTTTTGGTACGTTTGGGTTTTTTTTCCTAAAGAGTGAAATTCTCCAGTGTTTCCTCACCTGAACTTCCCTTTGAAGTCATCTGGAGTTCTGGATGGTGCAAAGGGTGAGAGAGTGGTCGAGAGAGTTCCTGTAAAATTCTTTTCTCGGTTACATGCCCTGGCTTGAGTCCGCCCTTGTGCAGAGAGCAGGAGAGAGGGTTTATACAGGCCGAGCTGCATCGTTGTCTTTGCAGACTGGTGATCTTTGAACAATCACGCCGAGTGGAAGGTCCGAGGCTGCGTACACTGAGCACTGCTGGAAAGAGGTTTCTTATGCTTTTTAGGGTGAAGCAAGGGTATATAATTAACTCTTACAAGAATATGCTTTCTGCAAGCAAATATGGTTCTGAGGTAACATTTGTAGAGGATACAAAGCCTACAAGTGCTTATGGGAAAGAGGATTTTTTTAAAATTAACTATATTGTTCTAAATTACTCATGAGAAGGGATCAATATTTCAAATATTCTTCTTTACTTTTCCTAGGAGAAACTGTGGCACAGACAACAATGAGCATAAATCCACAACAGACACGCTTCCCTGATTTCCTCGACTGTCTTCCAGGAACAAATGTTGATCTTGGGACTTTGGAGTCAGAAGACTTGATTCCTATCCTCAATGATGTGGAGTCAGTACTTAACAAAAATGAGCCCTTCCTTACTTGGCTGTAACCATCCATTATTTAAGGCCAGTTCAGTCCATAATGCAATTCAGCATTTCCTTTTCCTCTTGAAACAGAGGTAGAGCATCTGAAAATCCTCAGAGATGCAACTTGCTGCCTTAATGACTTCTGTTAGATCAATTTATGGTCAGTTTAATCTCTGCCTGGATTTGGTTGACAGTAACTTAAATATAAAAATATATATAAGTATCTATTTCTCATTTAAAAACAAAACAAACAAAAAGTTTTTTTATGCAGCCGTTTTTTGTTTGTTTTTTTCCTTTACAGATCAGGCAGAAACATTTCACTTTCAGGACAGAAAGTGAGTTGTGTGTGCATGTTCGTATCTGTTCTAATGGTTATTGGGTAACATCACAAACTTGTAATGGATCACACAAGTTAACTGCTAGGTCACTTGGTTGAAAAACCTGCACAGCATCAGACCATGAGAGCAGTTTTATTACTATATTTATGACAATAATACAAAAGCTTTTATATTGATTTCCTTAAGCTTTAAAATCTTTTCATTATTAGTAAAGCTGTGCTGTATGGAATGTAGATTAAATCTGATCCGTATCAGCTATAATCATTCTCATTATACATTTGTAAAGGCACAAGCAGTACTATTGCAATTTCTTTTTCAGTATATTACTGTATAGTTTCCATATAATAAATACTTCCAATTTGAAAGTAGCAGAAATGTTTAGTAAGTTTTACACTATCATATTCTTGTAAAATAAACCAGATTGGTAATAACTACTGCCTTAAAAAAAAAAGTCATTAGAACAAGCAATTTTTAATGGATCTTAGATTTTCATGTTTATTATATTAAGCACTACAATTTTGTAATTTAACACATGAACAAATAATTTTTATATAAGCCTGTGGCAAATATATTAAATTCAAAAATATGCTTTTAAATTCAGGACAGAAAAATGTGGCACAACTTAGTACTATCATATGTAGTGGGAAAAAAATACTGCTCAATGTTTTCAGCAGTAATGTTTTTAACTGACAGTGTTAAACTCCACATGTAAGTGTATACAAGAAAAAAGATGGTCGCTTTATCAGAGCAGTGCCAAGCAGCATTGTCACTTGTCTGGTAAGGTTGCTCAGTTCTTAACTCTTTCGCTTACTACAGTTGGTGTAGAGGACACGACACAAGTTCTTTTATTCCTACGTATTGTATATCCTTTAAAGGCTTCTTTATCAGGTGTTTGGGACTGAGAAGGCATCAAGGACATGACACATACAGTTCCCCTGAAATGCAAATGAAGTCCTGAAATTCTTAAATATTTTGAACTTATAGTATTTATAGTCTATGAATTTAAGCTTTTTGTACTGAAAATGCGCCTTTTTATGAAAGTCATGAAAACACTTCTCTGAGCTTGCCCCAGGCTATGTGGAGAAAGCAAGAGATGTAGCACTTAGTGTAAATGTGTGTTTGTTAGGTCTAATAAAAGTAATGAGATCCTACCAATGCACCGGAGTACTGATCAATAAGGACTTTTTTTTTCCATCTGGTTGGAGGAGCGTAGGTGAAAAGGCCAGAGATGAAGTGATGGGAATATGGAGTAGATTTGGAAGATGAATGATTATGTTGCAATGGCAGATCCTTACCAGGAAGGGTGGCTGCAGGTAGGGATACAGAGAAGGTGAAATCAGCAATGATGAGCAGAAAATATGATAGAACTTCATACAAAAGAAATACCTTGTAAAAGATCTGCTGCTGGGTCCACCATAAAGCTAACCAAAGCTAAAATTTGGTTTGCACACCAAACACTTCAAAAAGAGAGGGAAACACAAAGACCTAGAGCAATAAATTTTATTAGAAGAGTATTGCATAGAAGAGTAGGTCTTTTCATGTTTCTTTTTTTAATATAAAATGGGATGTGACAGCAGAGTTGTGTCTGCACACAACTGAAGTACTGAATGGGCATTGTTTTTTTGGGGGGGAGGGATGGGGTTATGTTTTATTATTTTATTTTCGCTAGAGCTAACCATTGAGATAGCAGAACATTCATTTTAAAAAAGGGACCGAACAGGCCTGAACAATGTTACTGTAATTATGGTTAACCTCTCTCTTTTAAAGATTGCTTCAGATTGTAATCTTAACTGAAAAACGGGTGGGCCTAAGGTTTTGTTCTTTAGTTACATGACTGGCTGATTTTGGGATAAAGAATTGGAGATTTGAGGCATCTGATTGTGATGCTAAAACTTGCAAGGCCAGCTCTTCAGCACCGCATTTTTGGCCTAGCAAAGTGAAAGCTATTGGTGCTAGAATGATTTACAGTAGCTACGGATCTGAGCCTGGCATGTTCAGTTGCTATCAACATCATTAGATAAAGTTTAGAAAATGCAGTTGTGCATTTGCTAGTAAAACAGTACTTTCGTAAATTTAAATTTTGTCACAGTAAAACATATTCCAAGTAGATCAGGTTCTCAGCTGCTGTGGATTAGCTAACATAGAATCATTATGGTTGGAAATGACCTTCAAGATCACCGAGTCCAACCGCAAACCCTTCAACACCATCCTGGTAATCCAGGTCCCACAGCGTCTCATCCGTACATTTTTTAACTCTTCCAGGGACAGTGACTCCGCCACTTCCCTGGCAGCCTCTTCCACCGCTTGACTACTCCTTCCACTTAGAAATTTTACCTAGCGTCTAACCCGAGCCTCCCCTGGCATCTTGAGGCCCTTTCCTCTTGTCCTACCTGTAGTTATGTGAAGGAGATCAACCCCCCGGTCACTACAGCCTCCTTCCAGGTAGCTGCAGAGCGCTGAGCTCTGCCCTGGGCTGCCTCCTCTCCACACCAGATAACCCAGCTCCCTCCGCTGCTCCTCGTAAGGTCTATTCACTTCTATTGACTTCTGTTTGGCTGCACTGATTTTTGTCAGCTGGAGACTTGACTCAATGTTTTTAGCACTTACAGTGAAAGCTGACGCAATTTTCTAGTGAAATCACATGTAATAAGAGTTTTATCAGAATTATTATGAAGCAAGAGATCTGATTCTCCTTTCATTGGTGTTTCAGGAGGTTAGGAGTCCAGGTTCAAAGATCTTAAAGTAAATTTGAAACTGTTTTCTTATTACTTTGATAATGAAACAGCAGCAGAGTAGAACAGGAAGGTGCTATATGAAACACTACTAGTGTACAGCAACTGCCAGAATCTTAGGTCAGACCTTTATTCAATTCTGAGCCAAATCATAGCTAAGCTAAAAGTGATTCTTTATACAATAAGCTTTTCATTTGGGAATGGAGAGCATAGATCAGATAAAGTGAAGCAGCAACAAAATCTATTTGCAAGAGTCTTTATAAGTTTCTGATTTTAAAAAGGCTTATGGCAGAACTTCAAGTATTCACAGCATATATAATTCTTTTAAAACTAGATTTATTGATGACAGTATTTCATTCTATTAGTTCAGGTTGTGAAATCACATTTATTTTACTAAATGTACACTGTATACTTTTAGCATAAATGCAATAAATATGCCAGCTGGACAGTTGGTACTGTTGACTATCACTGAAAAGGGCATATATAAATACTGGTGATACGAAAGTCATGGAATGTTGCTCAATACAATTTGTTTTCTGGTAAAACTATTAAGATGTAACTTTGGGAAGGACTGGGTTTGACTTTTTGGAAAAAAAAAAGCTATTTTGGGGGAGATTTAAATTGTCTATTTCAAATATGAGAAAATACGATGTTCAAACAAACTTTTTTTTTCCTAATATACTACATCCATGTATGTGCTAGTACTTTAACTTTTTTTTATTTACTTTTTCATTTTGTTATATGACATGTGTGAGCATTTGTTTTTAATTTAGAATTCTTTGCATACAGATTGTATGCATTAAAAGCAATCAGATCAAACTGTTGTATCCAGGGTTTGATTCTGTTTTTTATTTCTTTGATCTTGTACGTGAAAAATAAATATAAATGAATTTAAACCTACTGTATGCATATTGGTTTGTTATTTGTTTTTTTCTTTGGAGCTTTTCTGGGAACTGTCTAATGGTGCTTGGACCAAAGGTAAGGACTTTTCTATTGCAAAGACATTTCAAATTAAACTACTGTCACACAGCAAAAGAAATACTTTATTTTACAGTTACGTTTCAGTTTACTAGCAGCTGCCATAGACATTAGTGATTATTACAGTTTTACTCTGCTTATTAGTTTTACTTGTAACACTTCCAAGTGCTTCTCAAAGACACCATTAGCTATTTCTTTGAGCATTTATTTGTAATTCACTAACACAACAACTTTTTTTTTTTTTACAATTTAATAAAATTATCTCCAAGCAAAGGATTTAGCACCAAACCTATTTGCCACTTACCTTCTGTTCAGGGACCTCCATAATGCACTGCTGTCAGTCTGATCCTTTGTACAAGAAGTTTGTCTCAATGTCTTTGTTGAGAAAATACTGTCTTCTTTCCTAGGAGCAAGCCATTAAACTTAAGTGTTCTGGGCTTTTATTTGATCATCTGGTTTTTATTGTTGCGGTCCATTAGGACTAATTCTGAGGGTATTTTAAACTTGCACCTGTGGGGGTCCAGTGTTCCTGCACTCCAGTAAAGGATAATCCAGTGAACCAAGTGCTCTTGAATTTTGAATAATGTTTTCAAAGCTATTACAGAAACATCTCTGACAGGATAGGTGAAAACATTCACCTATGAATTCAGGACTGATCTGAAACAAGCAAAAAACCCCACAAGAATAAAAGGATGGGCTTCGAAAAACAGAGGAGGTAATATCAGGCTCTTCAATGATCTGAAAAAAATAGATGAGGAATTGTGAAGTTTGCAGATGATACAAAATTATTCAATATAATCAAGGCTAAATCTTATTCCAAAGGCTTCTGCAAACAATCTGTAACATGCATAAAAATCTGAAGGCATGCATAATACTGTACTCTTAAGAGATTAGTTTTGTGATCAGAAGAATTAAAAACAGCGAAGAAAAGGTAAAAGCTGTATAAATTATGTAAAACAGCAAATATGCTTATGTCCCTGTATAAATCCATAAAACCATGTTAAATAATCCTTGCAGTTCTACATTCTCCAGCACAAGAATATCACAGGAGAAGTAGAAATCATACATATACGGGCCCAGTGTCTGATCAGATACAACCCAGCTCCCCTGTTGGACAAGCCTAAGGAAGAATGTCGTCAGGAATGTTTGAATTAACAGAAGAATGTTCTGCGCTACACTG